CTATCAAAGCTGGGTTAACCATTCGAGCTTCCAGACGACTCAGAGTTCATGCTTTATTTGTTCTGGTCGAGTACGTCATGTGACTCTCCTTCAGTTCAGAAATGTCCTCCCAGCTTTCGTCTTGTTTAACCCATCAGTGCCGTTTGTCTTATACGGTGCATGTTTCATACAGTCAGCAGGTGCACGTCTGCAGAATGATGCACTTTAAATGTTAAATGTCTTCAAATGTTAAAGACGTAATGATGCTGCAGATAAAGTGATTTATTATTCCGTTTTAGATGGAAAGAAATGGTTTGTTGTGCTTGTATCAGTTGAGGTAGGCGTATAAATGCTTTTCCTGCCCGGTTTGAGCCGAGCGTCCCGTGTAAGCAGATTAATTGGCGTGCAGTAATTGAGCGGATCGTCTTCTCTGTCATCAGCATTATATTGCTCTGACTGATTGTGGCTTTGACTCTGGCTTGTGATACCTGGCAAATTTGAGGTTTAATAAAAGTTTCTTGTAATAGATGATAGATTATCTGAAGCTCTTAGAGAGGAAGTGTCCTTAACAAGCCAGGACACTGTGTTGTTTCCCTACAGAGACCAGAACAAATACAAAGAGGCCGCCAACCTGCTGAACGATGCTTTGGCCATCAGGGAGAAAACTCTTGGGATGGACCATCCGGCTGTAAGTTACTCAGCTGCACTGGAAGAAAACTTATAATGAGGCGGCTAAATCTGGTTTCAGCGTAAACATGAAACATAAAACCTTGTGGGTTACAAGAATTTTGATCCTCATTTGTTGTTCGTTGCTTCCGACATGCCTGACCTGCAAATATTGGCATTGCTCCCTTTGTAGTCATTTCATGTGGTTTAGACTTTAGTGAGTGAGCTGGTGTGTATTTGTGTGCGTGTGTGTGTGTGTGCAGGTGGCAGCGACGCTCAACAACCTGGCAGTGCTTTATGGGAAAAGAGGAAAATACAAGGAAGCAGAGCCGCTTTGTAAAAGAGCTCTAGAGATCAGAGAGAAGGTAAGAAAACACGTTTGTATTACAACAGAT